GTTACTTATGGTTATGGTTAGGGCAGGGTGGGGGTTAAGGTTGTCATAGTTAGCGTTAGCATTTTTCCCATTGAAATGAATGAGCAGTCCCCATAAGGATATGTTTACCCTGTGTGTGTGTGTGTGTGCGTGCGTGCGCGCGCGTAAGGTCCTGAACCCTGCCGGTGTATGTTTGGGATGTGCTCTCTGTTCCTTTTCAGGGATGCACAGCCACACCAAACTTTTCTAGCCATTACCTGGAGGGGCTGTGTGTGTGAACGCAAATGTCCAAGTAGTCATACCAGATATTAAACGGACTTTACATGGTTAGGTCTCTAGGACTAAGTCCAGGTAACTTCCACTTGACTCCCATGTGTGAATGGAGCTGTGAGAATTCTGGAGAATTCACCGTAGGCAAGTGCATGTGTTGATATTCTTATCATGGCACTGGCACGAAAATGGAAGAACGGAAACATCCGTGGCTGAAGGGCCATTTACATGAAGATCACAATGAGCATGGGTAACCGGAGACATGATGAAATTCGGGAACTTCTGTCCATAAAGCTGTAAACAAAACGTTGCGATTTCCATAGCTTGCTTTTTGCATCATATCCTGCCTCCTGTGTGCTCTACCCAAGCGCCGCCTCTTATCTAAACCAGTATCTCTAGTAGGTGTGAATGCATTTGACATGAACCATCTTGGGTTGTGTGCCACATGTGAAGGGCAATTCCAGAAAATGTCTGTACTCGGTCCTCCGGTGGATGTTGGGAGTTCATGTGTCAACCCCATGGAATGAGCCAAAGAACCCCCCCCCATCCCCCACCCGTGAAATGGCTTGATCCAGCTGTGGTTCCTTTGCCAGGGTCTCTCTGGTGATGGCAAAGCAGTCCCCAAAAGATCTGAGGCACTGTCCCTGTTCTGAGGGCCCTCCCATCAGGGAGCTGGGGTCCTGCTCCCCCTCGATATGTTTATCTCCGCCTCTCACGGGCCTGGGTTTGGCTGGGTGGTGCTGCTCGTCTAATGCTTGCGTGTGAGATCTTCTCATCCTCCCTCATTTCCCTGTCATGCTGTTCCTGTCGAATCTGCGGGGCTACCGGGGTGTGAAGTCACACGTTTGTGAGCTGCCAGAAGGGCATCTGCATGGCATTCAGTGATGCCTGGTGATTGCCCACCCGTCCCATGTCACAGTGCCTCAAGCTGTTTATTCCAGCTGCTGTTACACATCCAGCATTCTGGACAGTAAATTCCCTCCATTATTTAAAAAATCCTTTTTTTTCTTTTCTTTTCTTTTCCTGCGCAGAGAGCAGCTGGCAAGTGTGCCCCCCCTCCCAGCCCACCGTGCAGGACGTGCCGAGCCCCTCCTCCGGCCCGCCCCCCCCGGAGCCCCCCTGGGCCGGCCTCCCGCAGGGCGACGCGCTCCGCCGTCTCCTGGTCCCCAGCACGTCCGTGACAGACCTCTGCTTCGTGGGTGCACCCCCGCCGCCCCCGCCACCCCCGAAACGCCACTGCCGCTCGCTGTCAGTGCCTGAGGACCTGTCGCGATGCCGTTCCGCCTGGCGTCCCAGCGCCTCCAAGGTGTGGACGCCGGTGAAGCGGCGCTGCCACAGCGGGGGCGGCGGCGGCGGGTCATGCCCCCTGCGTGTGCCTGGCGCCCCCCTGGTCCCGTCACTGCGTTCCTCGTCCAGCCCCACCTTCTTCAGCCTGGCACTGTCGCCGGACTCGCCACTGCCCTGGAGCTTCCCCTGGGATCCCGCCGCCTGCTGCTGCTGCTTGCCGTCGCCGCGGAGTCTGCCAGGCCCCCCACAGCGCCGCTTCTCCCTGTCCCCCGTGCACATCCGGGAGGCAGCCGCACGCTTCCTGCCCCCACCCTACCCACCCACCGGCCCGCCCTACGCCGCTGCCGCACCCCCCTCGCCCTCCTCAGCCTGCAGCACGCCCTCGTCCTCCCGACGCCCCCTGCCTGCCCGACTGCCTCGTTGCCACTCGCAGCCATGCGACCTCCGCAAGCCCGGCCTCAAGCGGCGGCACGACCCCGACACGCTGCCCTGCGCGCGGCCCGGCCTCGACTTCAGCAAGATGACTCAGGTGAGCGCGACCTCCTGCCGTCTCCATGTGGGTTCCAGCTGCTTTCCAAAGATGGGTGGTGGCTCTGAATCGCCCCTAGTGCTCCCTTCCCTGCTAAGGGCGCCCCCTGTCTGCTGATTGTGGCCTCTGGAGGCCTGAGCACATGGTCCGGTGTGGCACGCCAACCCCCCCCCCCCCCCCAGCAACTCTGCTTCTCTTTCGGCGCCTTTGTTCTCTCTCTTGCTGTAACAATATGTAAGATCCCCCACACCCCCAGAAGGAGGCGCTGCTGCGTGAGTCCCCTCCAGCTTGCCGGCACTGTGGCTGGAGAGGCTCAAAGCGACGTGTCAGAAGCTGGTGTGGAGTGTCAGTGTTAAGCTCACACATGGGGAAGGTGGCCAAACCGACAGGCCTTGTGATGTAATCCATTCAGAGCTCAAAAGTGAAAAGAACCCCCCCAGCCCAGCCGTTTGCTTCCTCTTATTACTCACTCTCGACGTGCTATTTCTGTCGGAGAGGGAGGGAGCAGTGCTGTCCTGTGGGAAAGCTGCTGCATAGGTGTTGGTGGCCATGAGAGGCGTGAGGATGATGGAGGAGCCGCCGGGGGCCTGGGTGCCGCGCGCCACACAAAATGGCCGCCCTGTCCCTCACAGGGGCACTTTAACTGCCGCCTGCCTCCGTCTGCACGGCATCTTAAAACTTGATTGAATGTGTGTTGAATTTCATGCTGGGGCAGGAGAGCTGGTTGGTGATTTGGGGGGGGGGTTGCTGGGTCTGAAACAGCCACCTGAGGCTGTATTAACAATGGGCTCTTCTCAGAGTTCCAGAACATTCCCTGCTTCCTGCAGTGCCCCAAACCCCCCGCTGCAGCCCCCGTCTCCATTCCACTTCTCGGCTGAATACAAGCCTAGATCGTTTGGCGGGGTGCTTAAGGGACAGGAGTGCACCAGTGTGAGGGTGTTTCTGGGTTATGTATATATTACACTCTGGGGACCAAATGTAATAAAAACCTGTTATTTTGACATTGTGAGGGCCATTTTTCAGGTCCCCACAAATGCTAAAAGTTTCGTATTTAGTTTGGTTACTTATGGTTAAGGTTAGGGCTGGATAGGGGTTAAGGTTGTCCTGTGTGTGTTTGAGCATGAGGGAGTGAGCGTGCTTACCCCCCCCCACATCACACTGGCTATGGATTTGGAACTCCACCCCCCCCCTTCACAGTAGACCTTGGCTCAGCAGATGGGAGTGTTTATATTGGGGTCGTTAGCCAAGGCCGGGTGCGGGGGGGTGCTGCAAGATGCATGCCCCCCCCCCCATTGAAAGAGAGGCCAGCTCCTCTTCCTGCCCGGACACCTGTGCTTCTGCAAGTCCGTTTCCACGAAAGCCATAGGTCCCCCCCCCACCCCCCCGTCTGGCCAGCTCTCTTGTGCAGTGTCATCGTCCCCTTGCTCTCTTCCTGTCGGCCTCTTCCTCACTAATATTTCTCTTTTTTTTTTTTGTTCTTGCGACCTCCAGGCTAGACCTCTGCCTTCAACTGTCCCATAAACAGTGTCAGGGGGAGGAAAAAATAGGCAGAACAGAGGCTTTGGTGGGGGTGTGGTGGGGCGGAGCGGGGGGGGAGGCATGCAAGAAGGAGCCTTTTGCTGGTGTGGCCGTGCACCCTGGGGGTAGATGCCAGGACAGCAGATTGATATACTAACCAGACTAGCAGTGTAGGAATGTTAACTGCAACTGCCAGCATTACACTACAGTGTACAGAAGCAGTTAGAGCAGTGTTTCCCAATCCGGTCCTCGGGGACCCACAGTCCACGCTTTTGCTCCCTCCCAGCTAACTGCCAGACAGTCCACATTTATGCTCTCTGGCAGGGAGGAGGGAGCAAAAACGTGGAGAATCTGTGGGTCCCCGAGGACCGGATTGGGAAACACTGAGTTAGAGAAGGGCTCAGTCCCTCCCTCTTACTGGCTCCCTCGTTGCCGAAAGCAGCTGTAGTGCCATCAGTATGATTCAGCCCCACGGTCCCCTGGGAGAATCGGCCATTGTCTGCAGCAGGTAGCGAATGTCAGCATCCTGCTTAACGTTCTGCAGGAAGGTGTGCAGCAGCTCTCCGGCCATGCGGTCCACCCTCCTCACACTCGAGCCCCCCGCGGCATGCTGGTGGGCCTCACAGGGGCGGGGGGGGGGGGGGGGGGGGCTTTCTGTGCTTTTGGGACTGAGGGTGTAGCAGGGCCTGGGAGTGACTTGGGTGTAACTGCTGTCAAGATGATGATTAATGTGAGTTGCCCTTGTTCAGCCTTTAGTTTGTTTTGTTTTTCCTTTTATCATATTTTAAAGCCTTTATCTGATTAATTCAGCTAAACATACACCCCTAGTTGTGTAGATTCCATCAGTTGTGGGGTCCCCCCCAACCCCCCACCCTGGCCAGACTTCCATGACGGCCTGCCCCATGCTGCAGTGCCATATAAGGCAAGTGACTGAGAATTGTAGGTTGAAATCTGTAATTTCTATTAATATCTGCTCCAAATGTGGATATGTCTCCATGACCCCTTCTTTGGCTCCTTCTGGTCAGGCTAAGCCTCCCTAAGTAGATTAGGGTCAGGTTTGTTGGGTTCTGCTCGCTTCCGTGACCTGTAGCCATTCCCTGGATTTGATGGCGTGTTCCTTTTCAACTGGGAAGTCGGAATGCTGCCTGAAGATGAAGTCCCATCTCGGAAAGTCGGAGGAACCTCTACAACCCTGAACTCAGAGTTCAAGATGGCTGCGTCCTTTATCAACAGAAATGAAGTCTGTAGTTATACACTGTTTATTAGCGATCATATCATATTTCTTTTGCATTAAATCGGTCGTACACACAGTACTGTCCAACCGCTACTGTGCTCATGTTGCTACAGTGATTGTATGTGCAAAGTTGAGTGACAACATTTCCAACTCCGGCATTGCAGTGCTGTTGTTGGACTGAGTGGTGCCAGGCCTTGTATATGCACTGTGCAGGCACTGATAGTGCCCGATAACCTCTGTGCTGTCACACTAACTCAGACTTTGCCCTCATTTTGCATAGATTTTGCTTAATTTTATGTAAAGCGAACCTGATGTGACTTCTATCCCCTCCCAACTACGCACTCCGGGAAGTTCACAGCTGGGTGTGCCAAGTGATGTTAAAGGTCTGCTTATTCCTGAGAAAGGCCCTGAACCGTTGCCTCTTCATGTGGAAAAGTACTGACTGTGCCCTCCGCCCTTGGAGGCTTGTGTGCCCCTCCCAGATCGCGTAGGCAAGATCTTCACAGTGCTGCTGTAAGCCCTAAGCTGATAGTGCGAGTGTCACAGCTTCAGGGCAGTCTGGGAGGAGCAGGCGATGGGACGCTGCTTGCCTTCATGGGGTCATGGTGCTGGGTGGACTGGGCCCTCCCTGGGTTTTACCATAACTGACAAGTTAGTACAAAATAAAGGGGAGGGGAGATTCCACAGCACATTAGTTGGAAAGTACTGAAGCTCATCTAGAGCTGAATGATTATACCCCTGGAATTTGTACTATAGTTAGTTATTTATTGGGAGGGGGGGCATTATGCTGGGGGTTATTTATGTAATGATGTTGGACAATGGTAAAAAATCCCTGGGGGAATAAATCTTATCATATTGTTGCTGTTGTTGGCATAATGTAGTATCTTTCCGTTTTGTTCATGAGCCTGCATTTCTGAAAAAAAAGGAAGCGTTATTTTTTGAAGTCATGCACTCTTTCCTTCCCCTCGGCTTCAGAGAAGCGAAGGAAATGCACCCGTTTTAAGTCATACCTGAACGCTGCATGCCCACACTCTTTCTAATTAATAGCCCAGCTTAAGTCATGTGTATCTACCTCACAGTTTCATTTGACAGATTTAGCTTGACGGACTCGCGTTTAGATACGTGTTGCATGTTGCTTAGTGCTGGTTTAAGAAACGTTGTATGAAAACGTATAAAAAGGGGGGAAATTGCTGACTTTGGAACAATGTGGATTAAGCAGCTCAGTCCCCTGTTTTGAAATTGCTCAAGCAGAGCAATCAGCCAATGTAATTTGCTATTGATGCACTTATTTATGAAAAAGGCCACTTCCGCAAGTTAAGTTTTTGTTTTTAAGTTTTTCTTCACAATAAATTAACCATATTTATGTAATTATTCAGGTGTGAGAGAGAGAATTCTAATGCTGAATTCTCATAGGAAGATGATGTTATTGTGCTAGGTACTGTACTTCCTAGTAACATGAAGATTATGGACTCTTCAGTTACAGAGGAGTCCCCTCGCGCATTCAATAGTTTGTTCTTAAACAAAACCGTTATTTCGCCGGAGATTATGCGGGAGGTCGGGGGAATAAACGGCGACTGTGGTTTGGATACATGTGGCACATGGTAAGGCAGTGATAGGCAGGTACAGGCAGCCGCCCCCCGCCCCGGCCCCTGCCGGCAGCCGGACGGGCGACGCGTGCTCGCGGACGTGTATTTGCATGCGCTTTGCATACAGCTGCACGCACTGAATGCGCGCGTCGATCTCCCGCCTAGTGCTGGGCGTCTACAGTACTTACTCAAGTTTCCTCGATAAGTCGCTGCCCTTTGTTCCCAGGTCCGGCCCCCGGCCGCTCTGTATGGCGGCAGGTGTGTGTCTGTGTGCAGGGGCGGGGGGGGGTTATTCGGCAATGTGACGCTGGGGACACGAGCTGGTGAGATTTTAGGCGCCTGTTTTTCGAGGGGTTCGGAGAAATGCCCCTGCGCGCCTCTGAGCAGCACCACAGTGGGGTCGTAATCCGGGAGTCACGTGGGCATGTGCCGAGGAAAGTGTCAAGTGTGGGATGAGAAGCTGGGAGTGTGCCGGTCCGATGGCTCTCTAGTCTTTGGAGCCTGCCAGCTGTCCCTGGTCCCAGTAACCCTATATGCAGGGCCGTCTATCTCCCAGGACTCTTCTAGACTTTAGGTCTGAGTTTTTCTTTATTTTTTTGTTAATTGTGAATGCCTGCCACTAAATTAAACATTCAATTATCCCCATTTTTGTACTAATTAGTTACAGATCCCTCACTAGATCTCTGCCTTTGGTTGTCCTTTGAAACTTTTTCCTGTTTTAATCAGGTGGTGGAATAAGGATTTGACATAATTCTTATATATTTATTCTTATATGTGAAGATCAACCAAACATTCAGATTTGGTATAGAACAGTTATATGGGGACTTTATCCTTAACTATTTTGATAGCTACTGGAACCTTTACATGCACAAAAACCAAAATTTTTTTTTCTTCTCAATTTTATAATGGTGGAAAGATACAGAACAAAGTCAAATGAGTGCCTAATTCTAAAAGAATTCTTGAAAACTGCCCTTCCTCTATTTTTACCCATCAGAGGAGATGGTGAGAACCTGTCCCATAGAACTCTTCAGTCAAACAGCCTTTCCTTGCAGCTCCTTTCTGATGCTCCCCAAGCATTCGTTCTAACACTTCCTCTTCCATCCATCACCTTCTGTATCCACACTTTGGAAGCTGTGGGGTTCACACAATTTTTTCACACGTTTATACGCTTCTAGGTCTGAACAGTGTAGTTGGAAAAGCCGACAGTGGAACGGCACACTTTGGCCTGTTGATAAAATGGTACCGAACCTGTTCAGTTGCTTTGAGTGATCATTTTACACGAGTTTTTTTTCTTTTTGTCAACACACCGATTAGTTTAAGCTGAGTTCAAGGATGGTTTTTCAGAGTCTCAGAGCTCAAACTCATCTTTTCACTGGTTAAAATATCCCATTTAAAAAATTCGGTATTTCAGCATTCCAGTATAATGATTTCGCTTTTAGGTTGTATAAATGTTATCATTATGACTGATGGAATGACTTACTGTATTTTTTGTACCCC